CCTATTATCCTGCAAAGATTTCATGAGCTCAAAGACACATTTTGAGCTCTGATCATGGCTGACCTTTATGTCCTCTAGCAGATCATCCATGTCGGTGACGGTCAGTCCATTCAGGAAGGTATACGGTTCATGCATCTCCACAGCCAGATCATCATCCTCTGCACTGATGTACTTCGCCAGCAGGTCAATGGGCTTTGCACGGCCATCCCGAATCCTAATCTTGGACCTAATTTGACATTTTTGAACACCTAGGTCAATATAACTCAGCGTGTCACAGATTACTGTTTTAAAATGGTACAGCCTACTAGCCTCAATTTGGCCTGTTGCAGATGGAAGTTGTCCTCCTGTTCAGCCCAGGTTTTGAAGTGTTCTGCCTCTTTCTCCCTCTGTAACATCTCCAGCTCCGTCTCTCTCATGGCTTTCTCCCGCTCCCGCTCCAGTCGCAGCTGTTTAACCTGAACAGGGACACCGCTGGCATGGTTAAACACATCGATCACAGCGACTCCATGTTTTGGGAAGTGCGCTGCTCAACTGATCCTACCTTCTGCAGCTCTCTGCGGTTCTCCTCCTGAATACATTTGTTTCTTTCCTTGAGCTCTTTTTCACTGAGATGGCCGATGCCCTTCTTGACCAGTGCCTGAGAAACAAACACAGTAGTCATGATGAGAAGCAATGTATAGGTTTAAAAATAAGGGGCCAAATCTCCCAAGTAAAGAACTCACTTTCTGCCATTTAAATGTGCCCAACAGGTTGTTGTCTCCAAAGGGGTTGTCGGCATTGGTGTATCCCATGTACTCTTCACTCCAGCCCATCTTTTCTCTTCTCTTCTTCTCTTTTGCTTCTTTCTTGGCCAGCCTTCTGGCTCTCTTCTCCTCTGGCGTCTCCAGGGCTTTCATCAGCTCCTTCTGTTTCTTCTTCTCCTCCTTCTCTTTCACCGCCAGGTTTTCATTATCTGAATCTGAACTCTCTGACGACTCAGAGGAACTGGAGGCCCGCCTTCTGCTGCTCCTACCAGTCCTCTCTTTGCTCCTCTTGCTCCTCTCGCGTTCCCTTTCTTTGCTCTTCTTCTTCTTCCTCTCTCTACTTTTCCTTTCCCGGTCTCTGCTGCTGCTCTTCAATCGATCTTTGCTCTTTCTGCTTCTTGTTGGACTCCCTCGTTCAAGACTTTTTTTGCCCGTCCTCCTCCCTCTATCGCTGCTTCCATCGCTGGAGTCCAAGCCAGATGGAGACCTTCCCTGTCTTCTCTCACGAGATCTTCGGTTGTCCATCTCCTTTCTCCTCCTCCTCATCTTGGAATTATCTGATTCAGGACTGAGTAGAAAAACAATTTTTGCAGGATTACTAAAGCTTAATAAATCATGCAAACCATGAATAAACTAATAATAAAGATCGCATCAAATTTGATCACTGGAATGATGCAAAGAGAGGATAGAATTAGGCAGACTGTATGCATTTATGAGCTACTATGTTCAAAGTGATGAAACTACTAAAAAAATGCTGATACTTGTAATGTTTTTGAGAGACTTAATGTCCAACTAAAGTCCCTGCATACAGCAATCAAAGCTCTTACTATTTAACTAACTTGTTCAAATAGCACCTACATATTTACTAGTGGTGCAACGAATGAATATTTTTACGAGACTGGCTTTCGGCCGATACTTAGAGGTGAAACTGATCATTTCCACCGATTTTATCTAACTCTGCAAAGATCTAGGAATCATCATCCACTGTCAATGCTCTAAACTGATTTATAATTGTGAGAAGTTATTTCAGCAGTTTTTATTGTTTCACAGGTACTGGCTAATGACTTTCAATGAGATAAGATTGAAATATTGAAGGTTTCTTGGGATCTTATAACAACTTAGAGTGTTGTTATAAAAGAATCTGCATCTGTTAAAATTGGAATCAGAATGTGAGGCTTTTTAAAGATCGCTGATCGGACAGAAACCCACCATTGGTGCATCCCTAATATTTACAATAATCCCTCAGTATGTCATTAAAAGTTGGAACATTTCTAGAAATAGATATCTTTCTGGCAGCTGTCTATAAGGGAAATTCAAAAAGGACACGTTCAAATAGTCAATTTAGAGCTTTAGGGTGAAAATAGCACAATTGATCTTCAAGAAAAGAGGTTAGACTGGATGGAGAAAGAGGCACAGGAAAAAATTTAAGTGCCAAAATATCTGCTTTAATGTACAAATTGCTACACAATCAGTTCACATCACCATTATCATCAACATTATAACAAAGATCACTTCTTTAAAAAATAACCTGAATGAAAAGTGAAGCTTCTGAACTTAAAACAAGTAATGTTGGTGGCCAGAAGGACATTGTCATCAGCAAACATTAAATTATTGTAATAATCAGTTTTGTTAGTAGCTATCAATATAACTTACGTGACGTAAGTTATATTGATAGTAAGAATAAATTGATTAATTGCTAAAACCCACTTTTATTGCCTAGAGTTTATTAATGTTTTACATCTTGCCTTCACTGAAACTGACATAAAGGACCACATCCATGATAAAGGCGTTACCTTGGTGATCTATTCTTCGACTTGCTGCTCCGTCGGTGCTCTCTCTGCCTCCTGTCGGCCTCCGAGGCGCTGCCGCTGGACTCAGAACGGCTTCTATGCTGAGGCCCGCGGCGGACCGAAGCTCCATGGTTGGAGGCCCCGCTGCTGCTGCTACTCCTGCTGCTGGAGCTTCTGGCTCTTCCACGGGCGGCTTTTCTGGCGTCTGCAGACCTACTGCGGCCTCTCTGCGCATCCGGAGACCGCGACCTGCTTAATTTAGACTTATTTCGCTTATCTCTACTCCGACTTCTGGACCTGCTCCTGTGTCGCGACTTCGAACCCATAACGAACGTAAAGGGTCTGAGAATGACCCTGTCGCGTAAATATGACGTAACAATGAGCTAAAGGGAGAGTTTGCTGTTAATAGCTAGAGCACATAATAACTACTAGCCAGTAATATATGTAGATATTTTTTTAAAAACATACACTGCTATGCTACTTAAAAGTAAATCCAATAAGGAATACAATCTTAATTCAGATCACCAAAATCTATTATTAAGGCACGTAAAAGCCACCTATAGAGGCCCTTGTTAAAACGGTGGCACAAAATACACGTCATAAGAAACTACAAACCATAAAAAACAAAACAAATGCAGAAGCTTAGTATCACTTATTTTGCTCTTGTTGTTTCTCCTGTTCTTTTTCATTTTCCTCTTGTATTCGATGATGTGTTGTTCCTTTGTTCATTTTCCTGCCAAATCAATTCAGAATTATATTGTAAATGTAATTACATCACGTGCAAAATACCATATAAATCCAAATTGTCTAATCACAAACCCTCATTCGTAATTTTTTAAAACGGAACACAAACAATACCTTATGACAGTAAAAGAATATAAAAACAAGAAAGCTGCCAAAACCTTTGATCTATGTCTGCTCTATAAGATTCTCCATTAAGCCCTAGACATCCATTGTTAGCAATATGCAACAAACCCTTTGAATTATCACAATAGCATGTGCATTCCCACAGTGCCAGTTATTACACATTCAGTGAACAGGAAACTTTGGCAAGCTCTTATTTCTGTTACAACTGGTCCTAGCATTGTATGTTATTATATAAACACACATATATGTATATCAATTCAGATAGTAAGGTGTTAAGAACTCTCTAATTTTCTTAGTATCTGATAACCTAAAATGTATTATTCGGTTGTTCACCTGTTATGTTTCTCTTGTAATTAACAACTGTCAATAAAAACCATAAAAAAATAAAATAAAATCCGCTGCACAGACAATAATATTAGGTACAATTAGAGTATGGCATTTCACAAATATTCAGCCCTCCTCTAGAAATCATCTTCTAAACACCTTCCAGGCATTTTCAAGCTATTTAGTATTACATCAAGAAATAAGAAGCTATGCAAACAGGTACAACAAGAATCAATATTTGCTAATATGGATTTGATTCCTTTGACAAAATTTATTCTGAATGTATATCAAATAATATTAACCCTTTTTAAAAGTCCAGGATCCAATCAACAATTTTGCAAGCTGTTTCTCTTTTATTTCCAGACATCTTTAATACACATATTAAGCGTTTATTGCTGATATTGATTTTAGGTTCTCTTTTAGGTCTTTTTATTTTGAGCCCGACTCAAAAAAAAACCAAACAAAAACGCATAAGTCCTAAACCATTATCCATTATTAACACACACAAAAAGAAATATGTACATACACACACACACACCCACATATCTATCTATCTATCTATCTATCTATCTATCTATCTATCTATCTATCTATCTATCTATCTATCTATCTATCTATCTATCTCTATATATATATATATATATATATATATATATATATATATATATATATATATATATATATATATATATATATATATATATATATATATATATATATACATACATATATATATATATATATGTAGTCACCCTGTTGTTCCATAATAGAACGTAATGTGAACTAAAATTATGTTTATAAATTATTTTCCAGAAAAAAGGACCTGTTGGTGGAAGGCACAAAGTTTAATTAATTTGGAAACCTCAACGTCACATTTTTAAAGGACGTTTATTCTTCCCAATTTTTCAAAGATGAAAGTAGGAAAACTGAAATCTGGTGTTTAAGGAGTTGGAGGGATAATCTCAACATAAGGAAACAGGAAAGAAATGGACTACAAATCCCAGGCATCAGGCGCCATTACCTGTTTTCAGATCGTAAGGGACTGCTTTCTGCAACATATTTCCCCGTCTAGTCCTCTCCGCTTGTGATTAGAGCTCGACAGCCGACAAAAATCAGCAGAGTGTTCGTTTAGTAAATTTAGAGATGACCGTTTGTATTGCTGCTGCCTGAAACAGGCTTTGTTCGCAGTTATAAAGTCTTTCCGCCGCAGTTAGCTCAGCTCGCGAAGGGACAGCTTTAAGCTAACATTAGCCGTTAGCCTGTGGTAGATCAGGTAAATAAGCTAAAGCTGCTCAACCACTATGTTTTTCTCCTTTAAGTCCTTTCTCAGTATTGACATTGATAAATAATTCATCTATAGTGAGACGCTCTGCTCGGCTTTTGCGCAGGTTCGGCCTATTTTTTTTATTTTCTTTCTCCTTTTTTGTTTTGTTTCTGAACGTCTACATAAAGGAAATAAAAAAGCAGAAGTAGCAGTTGGGGGGCAGGCTGTTTGTCAGGCTAACCGTAGACTGTTTGGTGTGAACAAAGGCGTCAGCTGCTGACTCCGGATTATCGTGAAAAGATTCATAAAAGCAGAATGGCGCAACACGACCCCTCTCATGTAGCCAGCTCTCAGAAAGCTCTGATGTTGGAAATGAAGAGCCTTCAGGAGGAGCCTGTTGAGGGATTTAAGATAACTCTGGTGGACGAGGCTGATCTGTACAACTGGGAAGTGGCCATCTTCGGACCACCAAACACTCACTATGAGGGGGGATACTTCAAGGTAAGAAAGTTATTGAGTTAGGAACAAAGTTTAAGATTCACTCAAGCTGAATAGAAAACAGATTTATCAGCTTCTCGATGGTTCCTTTGAGTCTGAAAACTGCCCATGCTTTCCAGGATAAAAATCTATATCTACACCAGATAAGTGTAGATATAGATTTGTTTGTTTGTTTAAAATTGTGTAATTTTAGATTTTATTTCATATTGTTTTTTTTTTTTTTCTGAATGTTCTATGTTTCAATCTTTCTATCTGTTTGCCTCCTCCAATCTGTCCTTGTGTATCTTATCAGTTTAGGCCCCATCCATCTCAACCTTGATATTCTTTCTTCCATTTATTAAAAATACACCTAGCTCGTATTGTAGAACAGTTCTGCCATAAACTCATACATTTTAAATTAAAGGATTAAAAAGACTATCTGAAGAAGTTTTGAATATATATAGAAGTTTTGAATTGTGATATGAAAATGTTTTATGACCTTGTGCATGCAGAGTTATGTTTCTTGTGTTTTGTTTAAGGCTCGGATCAAGTTTCCTACCGACTACCCATACTCCCCACCGGCTTTCCGTTTCCTCACCAAAATGTGGCATCCTAACATTTATGAGGTCAGGTTTCAGAGGAAGACGCTCTTAGCTTTGTCTTAACATGCATTTCAAAATCTATAGTCTGCGTATAGTAAAACCATTTTTTTTTTCTGTTTTAGAATGGCGACGTGTGCATTTCTATACTGCATCCTCCAGTGGACGACCCACAGAGCGGAGAACTTCCATCAGAGAGATGGAATCCTACACAGAATGTCCGGTCAGCAACTCCCATATTATTTTCTCTCCTCATGTATCTCCTTTTTGATCATTTCTCCTTCCTGCTTTGTCCTCTCTCTGTCACTTCAATAATTTAACCAGCTCAGACTCTTGTTGTATGACACACATTAGCAGGCCTGTCTTATTCACCCCCTCATGACAACTTAACACTGGATCAACCCTCTAAAATATCTTTAAATAAGGTTGCAGTAGACACAGTGGTTACATGGTTAATTTTTATTGTGTTAATAAGTCTTAGCATACATATTTTGATAACCAGGAAGGTGTAAAGAAAAAGAGTTTATGAATCACTGCAAGACAATGCATAGTGAAACCCGGTAAAAACCAGATTATCAAGTCGGTAAATTTATTTTAAGGCAACCACAAAAACTCACGTTGGCTGTGAAGAAAATTTTGGTAATGAGGGAATATAATGGATTAACGAAAGACGAAAATAATTTTTTAATCATGTAAATAATCAGAAAATGCATCAATATTTGTGCCCCATGCCAGCAAGTGGACTTTACTGTATGAATCGCATCTAAGTACAATAAAATACATTACAATTTATTAGGGCCGCAACTAAGGATTACTGGCAAATCGATTAATCTGTTGATTATTTTTTTCACTTAATTGTTTAATAATCAGATAGCAAAGGGTTGTTTTTTTTTTTTACAGATTTAAATCAGGTGAAACTAAAGTGTTTCTGCTTGAGGAGTTCTGGATAGAGCATATTGACAGACAAGATTTTTTTATCCTGATACCCAAAATATTTAAGATAAAACTGCTCTAAGTTGGTTGTTTCTCTGTCAGCTAAAGACATGTTTTAGAGTCTCTATTCTCCAGTTAACAGTTAATCAATGACTAAATTATTTGATGATGAAAAGGAGTAAAAGGAAGAAAATATGTAATCTTCCCCTTCTCACTAAGTCTGTTTATTGAAAAGGCAAGATCACATTTATCTGCTCTTGTTAAAGTTCGTTACTATCGGAGTTAATTTATTCAAACATTTCTTATTTTATCAGCTTTATAAAGTGGTGCTAAAAGGAATTGTTTTATTTTTCGATGTTTTAATCTGTCAATATTGCATATCCCTAACCTACCTCAGTAGCTCTCTCTCCATTAGTCATTCTTGTTACTGTGACTTGAATGGTTATCTTAGAGTTGGAAGTAAGAAAAAAAAAACTAAGTATGTTAAAGTTTTAGTCAGTGATATTTTTATTTCTGTCTGTACCATTGGTACCATTGGTCTGTTCGGGTTGTAGGATAAGCCTACCTTCCCTATCTGTGTTAACAAGGGTACAGTGAATTAATTGGAAGACAGATCCTGTAAAACAGATGAAAAACTAAAGCAGGAAGCAGAAAATGCTCATCTTGTTTCAGATTAAAGGGTTTAGCTTATAGGCAGGCAATGAATCCAAATCAAGCACAAAACCAACACAACAACTGACCACAAACCACAGCTTCCTGCTTCCGACTGTGGCCCTGACAACACTGCTCAATAGGGCACTGAAATGTGAAGCTTCATCTGGCAGAACAACGCAGTATTTGCGTCAATACATTTGCTAACTTGTCCCTAATATCTTGGAAGTGATATATGTTAATATATGTGGAAGTTGTTTAGGTTGTACATATTCACTGTAAAAGAACCAAAAGAGGTCAGATTTTTGGTTTCTTAGAGAACTGTACTGAAATACTTTGGTTTGGAATCATAGATAAGGATTCAAAGTATTTGAGTTTTATTCCATTCTACACTAAAACAGTTTATTATCAGACTAACGTGTCCCCTTTTTTCCTTGTTTTCTTTTAGAACCATTTTACTGAGTGTAATCTCTCTGCTGAATGAGCCCAACACCTTTTCTCCTGCCAATGTGGATGCCTCTGTCATGTATCGCAAATGGAGGGACAGCAAAGGCAAGGACCGGGAGTATGTAGAGATCATAAGGTAAGGTTGGATATGTAGTGGGATAGAGGGAGATGGCTTTAGTCCTTTAGCAGTTTCCATGTGGTTATGCTTAGTTTCACTCATACTGTTCATGCACCTTGTTCCCTTATTGTTCCACATGTTAAAAATCTCAAACCCGAATGTTTTTTTATTTTTTATTCTCTGGATATAAACCTACATAAATCAGTGCATCGTAACGAATTGAAGGATATGTTGCTCCACTAATAATAAAAACATGAATTTGTATTTTGGTTTCATCAGTCTAGAGTACAGTCGGTTACATTCTTGCTGTGATGTCTACAGGACACTCATAAAAAGCCAGCGTTGTGTCCTTAGCAACACCAAACATGATTTTGCATCCGATCCGGCAAAAAATCTTGTCGTAAGAGGTTGTGTCGTTTAGCGCTCATTTGAAGTTAATGGGGATGAACACACCCGACTCGATTTTTCTCTTTTTGCTTCGCTCTGACTGAGATAGACTCCAGGTCTATTTTAGTCGGAATACGGAGTAATTTAGCTGCATTTTTTAAGGGTCTGGCAGGAAGAGAAACACATTTGGGAAGTAAAATACATCTTCTTTGAGTTAAAATACAAAATAAAACTTGTCAAAAGCGTGGAAAAATGGTCTAAAATAACACAGCGTGTTTATAGCAGGCAGGGCAGACTCATGCATAAACGATAAAAAAAAAATTGGATAAACGGAACACTTTAGCCATGATAGGACAGAAAAACGGATAAAGTAAAATTATGATCCTCTTCAACCCTCAAAACAATGAGAGATGGTTATAATAATTCACAGATCACTCTCTGAGAATCTCCTCTCGCTTCCTCATCAAGTACCTGTATAAACCATCCCACAGCGTTTATTGCTGTGTTTTCCTTTTCTCTTAACCTAGTTCCCATTATATTTTCTGCATATAAAATCCTCCATCTGTTCTAGTTCCATAGCATGCTGTGCAGGCTGTTCATGAACTCGGCCTCTGCTTTGTTGTCAATCTGTCCCGACAAATGTTGGTCATTGTTTCAATTTGTGGGTCACAGAAACAGGTGTGAGAAAACTCGACATAGATCGTTATCTGCTCACCTTGCATAGTCGGAGCCTCTCTACACGCAGATAGACAAATGCTGAGTTTGAATTCAGGGGCTGCGTCTTCTGAAGGCCAGATTCGCCCGCCGATTACATCATAGCACGGCGCTGAGGCTTGTTCAGATGGGAAGTTTTGAAGGACAGGTCCAGTGCGACGGGGCAGTCGTGGGTGAGCGGTTAGGGTGTCAGACTTGGATCCCAAAGGTTACCGGTTCGACTCCCGACCCGCCAGGTTGGTGGGGGGAGTAATTAACCAGCGCTCTCCCCCATCCTCCTCCATGACTGAGGTACCCTGAGCATGGTACCGTCCTGCCACACTGCTCCCTTGGGGCGCCATTGAGGGCTGCCCCCTTGCACGGGTGAGGCATAAATGCAATTTCATGGTGTGCAGTGTTCACTTGTGTGCGCTGTGTCACAATGACAATGGGAGTTGGAGGAGTTTCCCTCCAGAATATCATGAAAAAGTAGATTGATTTCAGTAATTCCATTTAAAAAGTGAAACTTGTATATTATATTCATACATTACATACAAACTCATATATTTCAGATGTTTATTTTGTTTAATTTTGATGATTACAAATGACAACAAATGAAAATCTCAAATTCATCATATCAGAAAATTAGAATATTACTGAAGACCAATAAAAACAAAGGATTTATAGAAATGTTGGCCAACTGAAAAGTATGAACATGAAAAGTATGAGCATGTACAGCACTCAGTATTTAGTTGGGCCTCCTTTGGCCTGTATTACTGCAGCAATGCGGCGTGGCATGGAGTCGATCAGTCTGTGGCACTGCTCAGGTGTTATGATAGCCCAGGTTGCTCTAATAGTGGCTTTTAGCTCTTCTGAATTGTTGTGTCTGGTGTATTGCATCTTCTTCTTCACAATACCCCATAGATTTTCTATGGGGTTAAGGTCAGGAGAGTTTGCTGGCCAATTAAGAACAGGGATACCATGGTCCTTCAACCAGGTACTGGTAGCTTTGGCACTGTGTGCAGGTGCCAAGTCCTGTTGGAAAATGAAATCTGCATCTCCAAAAAGTTGGTCAGCTGCAGGAAGCATGAAGTGCTCTAAAACTTCCTGGTATGTGGCTGCGTTGACCCTGGACCTCAGAAAACACAATGGACCAACACCAGCAGATGACATGGCACCCCAAACCATCACTGACTGTGGAAACTTTACACTGGACTTCAAGCAACGTGGATGAAGTGCCTCTCTTCTTTTCCTCCAGACTCTGGGACCTTGATTTCCAAAGGAAATGCAAAATTTACTTTCATCAGAGAACATGACTTTGGACCACTCACCAGCAGTCCAGTCCTGTTTCTCTTTAGCCCAGGCAAGACGCTTCTGACGCTGTCTGTGGTTCAAGAGTGGCTTGACACAAGGAATGCGACAGCAGAAACCCATGTCTTTCATACGTCTGTGTGTGGTGGTTCTTGAAGCACTCACTCCAGCTGCAGTCCACTCTTTGTGAATCTCCCCCACATTTTTGAATGGGTTTTGTTTCACAATCCTCTCCAGGGTGCGGTTATCTCTCTTGCTTGTACACTTTTTTCGACCACATCTTTTCCTTCCCTTCGCCTCTCTATTAATGTGCTTGGACACTGAGCTCTGTGAACAGCCAGCCTCTTTAGCGATGACCTTTTGTGTCTTGCCCTCCTTGTGCAAGGTGTCGATGGTCGTCTTTTGGACAACTGTCAAGTCAGCAGTCTTCCCCATGATTGTGTAGCCTATAGAACTAGACTGAAAGACCATTTAAAGGCTTTTGCAGGTGGTTTGAGTTAATTAGCTGATTAGAGTGTGGCACCAGGGGCCATCAATTTTGAACCTTTTCACAATATTCTAATTTTCTGATATGATGAATTTGAGATTTTCATTTGTTGTCATTTGTAATCATCAAAATTAAACAAAATAAACATCTGAAATATATGAGTTTGTATGTAATGTATGAATATAATATACAAGTTTCACTTTTTAAATGGAATTACTGAAATCAATCTACTTTTTCATGATATTCTAATTTTATGACCAGCACCTGTAGCCTTTGGTATCCCATGATTCACTTGCAAGTCAAGCAAGCCGGCTGCTCCGTGCTCAAAGGAAAAAGGGAAATGCTGCAGAACAGTGCTGAATATTCTAAGTGCATCTTAATATAATACAAGTATGTAAATCAGGCATCCCCAAAGTCGGTCCTCGAGGGCCGCTGTCCTGCAGGTTTTAGAGGTTTCCCTGCTCCAGCACAGCTGATTTTAATTGAAAGCTGATTAACAGGCTTTTGCTGAACTGCAATCATCATAATCAGCTGTGCTAAAGTAGGGAAACCTCTAAAACCTGCAGGACAGCAGCCCTCAAGGACCGACTTTGGGGATGCCTGATGTAAATAGTTCCATCTGAAATTAATTAAAATAGTTGTTTTAAAGGGTTATTGGGTCAGATATGTGGCAGGCAATGTTTTGTTTATTGAAATGTTTTGTCTGTCTGTCTGCAAATGGGTTTGGCTGAAATTTAAGCTCAGATTCTAATATCTCTGTAGTGTGGGGACTATAAAGCTGATATTCATGACTGCCGCTGAAGCTCCTTGAAAATGTTATTAGCACCCACAACGGTAGTGAGAAGTTTGGTATCTATTATTTGCCTGCCTTGTGTGTCAACTGTCATGGTTGCTAGGCGACAGAGCATATTTGCGGTGAAAGCCGGAGAAGGCTGGAGCTGTTTTTAATCCATAGCCTCCTTATTGTTATGGACCTCGAAGGACCCGGTCTAGGTAGACTGGGTCCTTGGAGGATATTCCTATGAAATGGAACAAACCCAGTGTGACATTGGACGCAACTGATGTGAGCCGAGTGTAAGATGTTGCTTTCTGCAGCTCCTCCTGATTTAACGAAGGGCTCTTAACTATTTTTCAAACCAATGCTCTCGTCTTTTAGGGTCTTCAGCCATATCTTGGTAGCCTGACGTAGTCCGACTCAATTCTAGTCAGAATATGAGTCTGATACTGCTCCATAGAGCTGTGATTATGGGGCGTGTTTTGAACGAACCAGGAAAAAAAATGCCTCTGCACTCAATTGGACAGACCTACAACCAATAAGAGCAACGGAGTGCGTGACGTATGTTAAGCGAGGCATAGTTGTTGTCAACAAAAATCAAAGCGTGCAGTTGCACGCCTATAATAAGAAGATGAGACTTGATCGCGTTTCTCTGTTCCTCTTTTACAATTAATTTGCTGTCAATATCTTCTAGAACAGACCTAATAGCAGAATCTACTCACCTAAACTCTCCGGCGGCAGCCATTATTGTTGTCACCCAAGCGCTCTTTGGTCACGTGGTTGATTACGTTACTGTTGGTCATCTGTCCATCATCGTATAAAGTCTGCCCTGACAATTTGATTGGATCGCCTGACAGTGGGCGATAATACTGGCGCTACTATGGAGCAGAGCCAGACCGAACTTCCCGACCTCAAACTTTGTGGGCGGGACTAAGTTCGGAATGGCACCCAGGCTAATATCTTGGTAGATTTACAGTTGAACTGTGCTCTTTCCATTTTCAGATGATGGATTAAACAATCATGAGTGATATGACTGGAACTCTGCATATTGTTTAAAAAAGTAACCCTCCTGCAAACCTTTCTGCAATATTCTTCCTCTGTCTTTTGTGTTTTTGTTTTCTTATGATGCTTTTTGTGGACTCAGATTATTAATCAAACATTACAGGCCTTTACAGAATAGCATCTCTTTTATATTCCCATTTGAGAAAGAAAATCTTTGAGAACAGATGTTTTTCCTTTCCTCGTAGAAAAAAGCAACTGCTTGATTTTTATGAATCACATAAAATCCCAAATAAATACATGAATGTTTTTGATTATAATTTAAGAAGAAAATTAGGTATACATGTTTTTATACTTTTTCAAAGTTCTGTTTTTTTACAAGTGCTAAAAGCTTTGAATTTCTGCAAGCCATAAAGCTGTTTGGCTGAATTCTCCCTCAGGAAGCAAGTGATGGCCACCAAAGCAGAAGCTGAGCGCGACGGAGTCAAGGTGCCCACCACTCTGGCTGAGTACTGCGTCCGCACGCGTGCCCCAGCCCCGGATGAGGGCTCGGACCTCTTCTACGACTACTACTACGATGACGACGACGTGGAGGGAGAGGACGGCGACTGCTGCTACGACGAGGACGACTCTGGCAACGAGGAGTCATGATGTGCTTTGTGGCAAAAGCGCCTAATCTCTCCGTCAGATGCTCCTCCTTTCTCTCTGCCCGGGTTGCCCGTTACTCCAGGTTTACAACCAAGATTGGAAGCTTCCTTCTTCTAAATCAATAAGAGCTTTTTTTCCTCGAGCCTTAGAGGTTTAAAGTTGATGCCTCGCCCTGAGGGGGTCAGACTTGGTTCAAATTTGCACCAGCAACAAATGTCACCAGTTCCTCTCTGTTTTTCAGTCATCACCTCAACCTTACTTTGAGAGAGCATTACCTAAATGCACACATATTCCAGTGTCATTAGACCATGCGTTTAGAATACAGTGTTGATTATTGGGTAAGTACCCCTGCTAACGAGGACATTTTCTCTGGTGTAAACTTTTCGAAACATGACTCAGCCTCTTTCTCCTCTTCTCATATTTGTACTTCGCTAATTGTAAGTGGCTGCTGCTCTCTGATGGAAAATGGTGACTTAATGCAGCCTGTTTGTGTTGGATAAAGCCCTGCATTTTTTTGTTTTTTTTTGTTTTTTAGTTTTGCAGCGTCTCTTCTGGATAGGACAAGGCACGAATGAATTGTTACGTGACAGTGTTTTCAAAGTTCTTATGCATGCCAGAGCATATTTGAAAGCGTTTCATCTCTCTCTTCCTTACCGGTGGACTGTTTCCCCTCCTTCCACGACAACACAAAGACTTTGACGTGACGATGGAGGAGCGAGGAGCTGGCAAAGTCAGAGGGCTCAGTTCCTCACATGAACATTTTTACTAACATGAAAACTGATGTTTGCTGGCTTTTTTTCTTCTGGTTACTGTCAGAGGTGATTCTTCTGGGTTGTTTAGAGTAGATGGATTTTTCAGTCTTTGAGGGGAATTGGGGACAGAAGTAACTGTTGATCAGAATTGTATTTCCCTTTAGGCTCGATCTCTGCGATGCCTGATGGACCCAAAGACCCAAAGCATTGTTTAGAAGTTTTGACTAGTGTTTGGCGTGCTCTTTGTCTTAGTTTGCCTGTTTGCTCTCTTGCAAGCTTCATCATTATTTGGTTTTCATTTTGTTAGACATTTTGCCTGAACTGTTTACTAAAATGATAGTGTTTGCTAGAGGTTGGGCTACTAGGATTACTTAAGTTTTTACCCTTTCAAGTGAAAGTAGAAAAATCGCCCCGTTTTATTTCTCATGATCTTTGTTAGTTCAAAGTGAACAGATTTGATAATATTTTTTAGAGTGTATGGGTGTCCTGTGTGTATTTTATTTTCCTGCCAGCAATATTGATTTTTATCTCTTTAAATTGGGACATCATGATGAATTTCTCAGGAGAAAATGACATGCGATAAAACAATTAAGACTAGCAACTAATTTCCTCTTGTGGTGGTCTTCAGTGTCAGTTTACAGCTTCTACAGGAACCGTAAATCAATATGCACACGTAGCTGTATAAATGATCACTATTTTGTTTCATTTCTGTCTTTTTTTTTTTTTTTTATTTCAGCTATTTAAAACCGAAATAAAGATTTATTTGAAAAAACAGCATATAGCATTTTCTGAATACATGTTTCAGTTTGTTCTTTCTCGGTTTAAATACCTTTATGTATCCAGAGTGTTCCTGTAATTTATTTATTTATTTTTTTCTCTTTTTTTAAGCCTGGATAAGTTTGGAGCCTTTCAAGCTAAAAATGGGGTAATGCTTCAGTTTATCACATCTTTTCCATAACCTTAAACATAAATTACTATTTATATACTTCTTTGTACATTCATATAATTGTAATGCCATTTCTCTTTAGTTTCCAACATTAAAACTAGAGATAAAGGTCTTCGATAAAGGCCTACTTCTTCAAAAATATAGGCCTTATCACTGCTTTTTGTTGACCTCAGATGTTTTCACATCTGGGTTTTGAACTGGACCTTAGATCTGGGCTCAGCTTCAACTCCAAACAAACCATTAAAACTCTTGTTTTTTGGAATTCTAAAAGATTATGGAATGACTAATTTGAAGGATTACTCCGGAATTACTAACTCCAGATTATCTGTTTTCATTTAAACCAGTCTTATTTTCTTCAGATAATCCCAGATAAAAAGTGAAAAATCTTTAAAATAAAACTTTAAGGCTGTAGGACCATCCTAGCTCACATTTTTCAGTCAAAACCTTTTATCACAATCTTCAGTAGACTGATTATCATTTTCATCCTAAAGTTTTATGCTTAAGGATACTTTTTGTGTTTACTCCACGTTGTCCAAACATTAGCTATCCAAAATATCTTACAAAATAATTAAAATGGTGAATAATTGACTTGTACTAGACTAATAGAAAACCCAGACATAACACATGCATAATTGATTATTCTATGTACTAGAGAGCCTCAATGTAATAGTGCGCTGTTCCCAAAGTGCAATGATTTCCTTGGTATTTACGCCCTCTTGTGGTTTAGGTTGAGCACTTCACTTTCTCGCTACATACCTGGCAGTACGCTTTTTTAAAACCCTAATATAAACTAAGGTATCTCTGCTCTGAACAGGTATGCTGCTGCTTTTTGCTCGGGGGGGCTTATACCATCTCTTGCACATACCCCACCTATCACCCCCAATTTCATGCTTCCTACATATTTCAATTGTTTTTGTATTAAGATTATTATGAATTTAATTTGTTTCTAAATTCTTGCAAATGATATGTCTCACTTTTTTAGGGCATTTGAGCGAGGTTATAACATGGGATATTTTTATGTATTGTACAACAATTCACAACAAATGTCTTTTTGAGGCAGTTTGTAAGTCAATTTAATCAATTCAAATAGCAAAAGTCATAGCCAACTACATACACCTTCAAATTTGATGCAATTTGTAACAAAGTGCAATGCAAATAGGTTCGTTAAAGGTTTTATATCTAATAAAATGGATTGCTTCAAGTCACTGGGTTGCATTCACTTCTTGAGCACATCAAAAGAAATCATTTCTTGCATTGTGCTGTTTCCATGTGTTTTTTTTTACTGAGCATACTACAATGGAGAGGATACGGACGGCAAAAAAGCACATATGCTGTTTTTGTAGAAATTCTACTTGAAAGGTATAACCGAGAAATAAGGAAGAAATTTAGTAGGATGTTAAAAGAAAACGGAAAAATGTGAATGCGGCATATAATCGTGAGAGAAGAGAGCTGCGGATTTTTTAGCTTCTTTTTTCGTTTTTTTCCCTCTTTTTAAACAACCTTTTCACGTTTCTGTTGCAGACAGTGTAAAGGACTTATACACTAAACTTTATTTGTACATTTAGCCCAACCGTTAACTTAATTTATCTAAAATCCCCGAAAAACATTAAACGCAGCACACTTCGTCGCTCAGTGATGACGTCTTCCAAACAAAGCAGTTCACTCAGGTATCCCCGGATTGGGAGAAGTTGTTCAAGATATATTAACAATTTTAAACCCAAATAAAGATAAGAGTTTTAGTCATGTCTGTGAACTATGCTGCTGGCCTTTCTCCGTACGCAGACAAAGGTGTCTGCGGACTGCCTGAGGTAAAACATTTTTTTTTGTGCTACGTTTAGCGAGATGTTGAATAGCTAGTTAGCACCTTAGCCGATGTCGGTTTCATTGATAAGAAACATGTAAAAGAAAGGTGTTGCTATGTTTCTATATCGAAGTATCTGTTTCTGCACCTATTTATGTCATATGTCTATGTGCAAGATTTTTACTTTTAACACCTTTTATAAATTAAGCTCATAGGATTAAGATGTTCTATGGCGCCTTGGTCGGCTGTTTTAGATAATTATCCCAAAGAAAGACAGTTTTATTTGGATAATAAGTCAGGTTTTATATCAGTCATTGATGTGTTAAACAAATAATTAATATTCAACAAATATCAATAAAAAAGCCCCATCACCATTAAAGGTTCTGTAGGTATCAGGCACGGTGTAGGAAGCTGATGCTGTGGGCTTGCAGCCATAGCACCATGTAGTTCCTGGAGTTTAGAATCAACTTCGATGTGCCCTAGAGTTGACACGTAACTACTCAGTATAAGAGAAATTAAACTAGATGGCATTTGTCTGCATCTCTGCTTAAGCTAAGCCAAAATATGATGGATAGATAAATAAATAAATAAAAATAATTTTCATACAAGTGAAAGCAGCAAATAAGAATCAGACTGGGTTAATTTATAAAAGATTTAACAAGCTACTTCAATACACACAAAAAATAAAGTGGTACAACTTTTCACCAAGCGTTAATCAGTTAAATTCTTCATGTTAAAGATAAGATTTCTTGCTGTTCACACGTTAGGATAATCATCTTTAACGATACTGAGTGGGTGTCCTGATTAATTCCTGAACTGATGTTTTCCTCAGTAGTTAATCTTATTAAAACAGTTCCTCTGTATGGATATACAGTTATAATCTTAATTTTTTACGTGGCAAAGATTTGTAAATTGAATGAAAGCGGTGTCCTTCAGCTAAGAACAAAGTGTATTATTTTGTTAAGGCTGGAGCCATGGATGTCTACTCATCTGCTAATGTGTATGATGTAAAATAAGATGATGTGGCAGACTGGAGATGTATAAAATAACGTTTTAACTTTTAATTGGTGCCATTTCTGAGAGGTGAACCCAGAGGTGAGAAACTGCCTTCTGTAAACTCCAAGCAACTTCTCTGATCTGAGTAAGATTACAATTTAAATATAAATCTGTTGTCGTGTCTCCTGGTTATTTAATACATATAAGTTATGAAGTATTATTTAAAGAGTTTGTCCTGAGTGATCTCTTTTCAGGAAAAAGAACTGGAGCGAGAAAGCTTCAAGGTGTAGACCTTCTGCCTATCTTTAACACACGTTATAAATAACAATCCTAGAACTATTTATGTTTTTTAGGTTTGCAAACATGTAGCATTTGTTGTTCTGATGAGATTAAATCTTAATGAAAACAGTGATAATGTTAAAATACATTATTAGCCCATCCATAATTTCAGATTATATTTACTTCTGCCGAGAATGGTACATTTTTAGAGGAGTCTGTGTTTGCCCATCTCTGTGCAGGATAGATTATAAAGAGATTTTATCAGCAGTGTCTCTAATGCCAGTGAACAATCCATACAATTTGGTGATGATCCAGATTATAATCTGGGTGCAGGATAATAAAAAAAAGATGCTCTAACATTAGGAGGAGGGATATTTGGCAGAATATGCAGTTCCCCTTTAAACCAGAGGGTTGCAGCAGTGACTTTTGACAGACTGCAACAGACTCAAAGAGTTTTCTGAAGACAAAAACACAAGAAAAGGGAGCATTGTTGGTTTGTTAGCCGGATCAATTGAAAACTTATGAACAGATTATATGGACATTTTTACCAGAGGCGCGCCTCCTGCCAAGGAACAATTCATTTAAAGTTGGTAATTATCCAAATAATATGTGGGTTTTAGCTGTAGGTTTACAATTTGGTGCAAAATTTGCTGCTTTGCAGATGTCTGCACTCTCTGAGTGCTTTTCTAGTTGTTTATGTGTTTGTGATGGGTTTCATTTGTTTCATTTGGTGTCAAACTCTATATCAATTCCCATAAAAATGTTCCATACTCAGTATCATAAGGGGTAAAAAAATGCCAAATCATTAAAGCCTAAAATTAACATGAAAAACTCCTTTTTCAGTCTCAACATGGAATGTGCTTTCTGGACAGAATATGACATTGTATTAGTTAAATAAGTGTAAAAATAAATGTAAAATACATAATGCAAAATATAACACACCTTTGTAGCAACTAGTTGAGCGCAGACCTCCGCCAAGCAGCAAATTTCGCCTCATATTTTAACCAACACCCAAAGCTAAAACTTGCACGTCTGGATCATGACTTTTGGATTCCAATGATGACAATAGTCACTATTGCCACCCTCTGGCAATAGACGTGCAAGTTTTAGTTATAACTGCTTGTTTCCTCCTTAAATCCCTATCTCACAATGATAAAGAATCCTAAAAAAAATCCTGTATCCAGATTATGATCTTGGATCATTCCTTATATTTTTTGTAATGTTTATTGGCCTTAGAGACACCTCTGATAAAGATATAATTAACATCCCTTGTCATACTTGACATACTTTTCAAGTTATCCTATACACAGACAGACAGACTCTCCTAAAAACAGAGGTAATAAATATTGTATGAAATATCCTCTCCAAACAGCAATGTTTCCATTTTAGATTTGAGGCAAGCATACTCTAAGGGCTGTTGTTTATTTTAACCATTTGTTCTTCTGTTTTTGGTCTTTTTGCAGAGTTTTGACACTCCTGAAGAGCTAAAGGTGAAAGTGGAGAACCTTGCTCAGCTGATCAAAGAATCTCAGTATATGGTTGTCCACACAGGAGCTGGAATTAGCACTTCAGTAGGCATCCCTGACTTCAGGTGAGAAAAAAAAAATAATTGTAATCATGTCCTTAGTCATGGTCCATCATAAATCATTGTATTATTTGGGTCGGCTAGCTGTGTACCTCCTTCTAAAATAGCAAGTATATAACCCATGGCTGAAATATAGATGGTGGTGCATTAAACCAGAGTGTCTGAGTCATTTGATTTTTATTTATATTTATTTATTTATTTGAATAGGGACAATGCACAGTAATGAACATCAGTATAAAAACAAATGTAAATATGCCGGATTATAGCTACAAAGCTAGTTTTCATCTGTAGACCCTAGGCAGGCAAATACATAAGAAAGAACATAACATACAATACAAGCATCACAAGGAAATGTTAAGAGTTTAGTGGTTACATGACTGGTTTGTTTTCATCTGTAGTTTGAGTTGAGCTCTAAAGCTGATCAGTGTAGGGCTCTCCTGTATGTGCAGAGGAAGACTGTTCCAGATGTTAGTGGCTCTCACAGAGAGAGTGTTCTGACCAAAAGTTGTTCTTCTGTGAGGGACCTCACAGTCTCCTCTGGAGGAGGCCCTGGTTCTCAGGCCACTTGAAGTCTTGGGTTTGAACAGAGTAGACACAGGAGGTGGGGCTAGTCCATGTAGAGCTTTATAAATGAAGCATACATACTTAAAATTTATAAAATTTTCAAAATTTAAAAGATTGTACTTGTTTAAAATATTACATACATGGAAAGAATTAGGTTTTTAGGTCAAACACTTTTAGAGATTTTTTGTACAGTGATTCAATTATTTTAAATTGCTAACTGTGGTGAGAGACCAACTTGTGATGCAGTATTCAATGTGAGATAAAATCATTGAGTGGAGAACAATTCTAGCAGCACCAAGTGTTAAAAATGATGAAATCCGCAGTTTTCTACTTGTAAAGATCTGCATCTTCATTTAGCATAGAAACACCTTGTCAAGTGGGCTTTGTCTACCAGCTCTATAAAAGTAGCTTGCTCTGTTAGAATGGGAATCTTTCTCCTTTTGATTAAAGAAATCTATCCCATTCTATATGTATTCATTATATAACAGCAGAAATCTGCATGCGGTGCAACAAGTTACTTTAGGTCATTTCAGAAGCCGTTGTTATGTAATAGACTGGCCATTTACTTATTTTTTTTTTTTTTATAATTATGAAAGGCAAATTGCATCAGATCGTGTTTATATTAAATATTTAAGAACTGTGATGCATGTTTGGAGTTTAAGTGTCAAATATCTGGAATTAGTAGAAATGTATAATATCTGCAAATTACATTTGTGTGCAATATGTTGGTGTCAGAATGGGACTAATTTATAATATTTGCAGAAATATCTCTATTCAGAAGGAAATCAGAGTGATTGAGATGAAATGATCAGCTCTCATCACATCAACAGGGATGCTATTTTTATTACAGCAACTGTTTTTAGGCTGTTTGCATCGATGGAGGTGCTTCTAGAATAAAAAAAAAAAAAAACAGTTCAATTGGAATCCAATGTATGAAATTGGGAAAAATCACACATAATAACTGCTATCTTAGAAAGTTTTAGTGTTAATGTCATTTTAATGTTTCTATTAAATATGTTGTTGCTAGATTGGCATTCTGGCTTTTTGAAATACAGAAGAGGAAGAGTTTATATGTCCTGTGGATGAGGCATAACTACAAATTCAAGGACTTGATACAACCAGCAGGGGATCTTTAGACAGAACAGCCTGCATATCAATTACTGTACTGCATATTAATGGCCTGCCCCTCGGCAGAAGACTTGAGAGCAGATAAAAATAAAAGACAAAAACATATTTTAATCCGGTTAGTTTGACTTTTTAACTACAATAAAACTGGAAGCTGATGCCACGAATGCATCATATTAATAGAAGTGATCAGTCTGAGAGAAATCTTCCAGATTATAGAGCTGTGTCAGAACTCAGCGGCCCTAAATGTACAGAAATACCTAAATGTGTTTTCTACTTAATTTAAACTTTGTAGCATTTCTGTTTCAGTCTCATAGAGACTGTTTGCTTTACATCAGGGGTAACCAATTAAAAATCAGTGGGGTCCGAATAAAGAAAGTAAACAACCAGTAAAGGTCTGGACACATTTCTTATTATAATCTGTTACTTTAAACAGAATTTAACACTGAAATAAAATGAGGTGTTTTTCCATCCATGTTATACTTTGACTTTTTAAATGAAAAATATATATATGAATAAAATAGAAAATGTTTCCATTTTAAATTAAATAGTGTTTGAAGTAGAGAACAACAATCATTCAGTTTGGTATATAGACAATTTCCTGATTCACATAGTTTATAAAACACCTGAGCTGACCATGGTTTGTTTTTTTTTCTTTCTTTTTATGGCTTGTTGAGAGCAGTGAGCTTTAGGCTGACTTACAAGGCTTTAAACCTTGGTTAGATTGGCGACAAAGCCATTCTCAAGCACATATCAAGGTGCTCATTTTGAGCCTGGATCAATATTTATTTTTGATCCTGTTCATGGTGGAGAATCCTGTTTCGCAGAAGCAGCTTGAGCCAAACGTACTCCAAATGTGCAGGGTCATCTTTGAGCACACCATTTCACTCATCTGTCACCAGTTTGCCGCAGTTCTTCCAGCAGTGCACACTTTCTTTCACTTTTTCTCTTCGTCTTCTCCTTATTTCCTATCGCCTGGCTTGCCACAGGTTTGCCTGTTGTGTCTAAAAGTAGCAGCAGCAGCAGCCCTGACTGACAGCAGCTCATTGGCTGATTTCTGTCATATGTAGCCTGGTTCCGGGGGCTCTGGAGGGCTTTACCATACAAATAGGAGAAGCGGCGCAAGTGAAATTAGACGCCGCCGTCGAACAACATGCGGTAATTTATAAATGTTTTAAATCAGGTTGGGTCCGGATCTACATGATGAATCTTCTATTTCACAGAAACATTACAGCCTTGTTTTTAGGTTTTTGATTATTTCTTTTTTTACCTGCCAGTTTTACAATTAATTCCCCATCGTTGCAGCTTGAGTGTAACATTTCCCCTTCTCATTTACACTGCTTCAGCAAGCAAGAAGAACAGTATGTGTATGTGTATTTATGTGTGTGTGTATATATATATATATATATATATATACACATCGTAGAGGGCATGCGCAAGATGATTAAATTCAGAGCAGCAAAACATGTGGAAATAACCCAGGGTTTCCGTGGATCATTAAAAATAATTACAATTCATACATTTTTTTGGATTTTTTCATTAATTTCATAAATTTTTATGGGATTTCGGTGTAACAATCAACATATACCGAACCGAACCGAAAACCGTGACCACGAAACCTTGAACCGAACCGAACCGTGGATTTTGTGAACCGTTCCACCTCTAATAAATATATATATATATATATATATATATATATATTAGGGTTGTCACGATACTAAGCTTTTCAACTCGATACCGATACTAAGGAAAATATTCGATACTTGATACCACAAGGATAAAAACAAAGACTCCAAAATTCAGCAGAAATAGTTTTATTAAAAATAAAATACAATAAATAAATAAATAAATAAATACAATAAACAATAAGAACAATATTTTGAGGTTGTGCACAATATTAAGCAAGCTTGATAAAAAAACGTACAAAATTAAAATTAAGTTTTCCTTACTTGGCTATGCTTTGCACACATAATGACACTAGCCAAACTGGTTAAGAAACAAAAAAAATTCTCAGCAGCTGCACCTGTTACAAATACTTTTTTGAGTATCGATACTTTTGACAACCCAAATATATATATATATATATATATATATATATATATATATATATATATATATATATATGCATCGGTGTGTGGACATTATACAGGAGAAAGCAAATACAGAATAGTAAAAGGTTGTCTGTCAAAAAGGAGGAAAAATGTACAACCAAACAACAGATCTGAGCTAAAATTGTATTTATTAAATCATATGAGAGTCAGAACATAAAAAAAAAAAAAGTAACACTTTTCAAAGCCAGGACCTTGAAGTTATTGGGAACTGAAATGAATTATTCTATGAATTATTCTGTGCCTCAAATTATATCCCACGTTTTATTATTTTATGAAGTGCCTATTTCTTCAGAATGAGATATTATAGCAGATAATCTGACATTCTAGGCTGGAGTTTGGCCTTCAGTGAGTCAGGCTATTTTTTATGATGGCTCCACACCATATCTACTAAATATTTGCTAATTTTGGAAAGACTTTTTCTTTTTTTTCAAATAGTCTTCTTATTTTTATGTTTTAAAAATTAAGGCCAAGCTGCTCTTTTACAGGCTTCTTTGGGTTTCTCTGATTCAATTAATTCTTGTTGTTTTATGGTAAAAACCTACATGTTCAATTTTTCTGATTAGGAGACTAGGAGAGTGGTGGAGGACGTGAAACGTTTAGGTTATATTTTGAGAAGGGACTTCTGTGATAATGTTGATGAGAATGGTGATGTGAAGTGATTGTGTAGCAATTTGTAAATGAAAGCAGATACCGTATTTTGGCAATTAATTTTTACCTTGGCCCCTTTCTCTGTCCAGTCTGACCTCTTTTCATGAAGAACACGTGTTATTTTCAGTGTAAAGCCCAAAATCAAGTATCTGTAGGTGTTTTTTTTGGATGTATATGAATTTCTTTTACCGGTATAGATGGCTGCCAGCAAGATATCTCTTTCAAGAAATGTCCCAACTTCAAATGCCTTACTGAGGAACTTTATGTTGATATTAGGAATGCACCAGTTGTGGGTTTCTGGCCAATCAACAATCTTAAAAACTAAAAATTTTCTTTGTTTCAAAATGAGCCTTTTGCACAGTCTGCTGTATATACAGGGTTCCTGCAGATCCTTAAAAAGTATTAAAAGGCATTGAATTCTTCAGTATAAAATCAAGGCCTGAATTGGTATTAAAATGTCTTAAATCAGTCTTTAATTGACAATGTCTTTCTTACCTTTGCCGAACCGCTCACTGTAACCATTATTGGTTCCGTCCCGATAGCAGAACCAATAAAAAC